TGAAACCCCACTCCCTTCAGCAGCCTTATGGCAGGGCTCTTCTGTATGGCGCACCCCTGCATGCACTGGCATGCTGTCACCCGCATCCCAGCAGGGGGGGGCACATCTTAAAAGGTGAGAACAGCCGTGTTGGGCCAGTACGGACCTGTTTAGCCCACGGCTACATCCCCACCAGAGCCGTGGGGCATTTAGGTAAGCTTGTAAGCTCAGGGCAAAGAGAGCGCCATGATTTTTCCAGAACGTTTGTGCGGTCTCAGTTCGAGAAGTAGGTAACTCCAGGAGGAAGGTGGAACCAGTGTTGTTTCTTTCATTCACCTGTCTAGCTAGCAACCTATCCTGTCGAAAAGAGTCCCACAACTCAGTCACACTGTACAAAGAAGAGCTGCTTTCACTCGCTCTTTCATTTACAGTGTAAATATGAGGGGAAATGAGAGCAGAAAGATACAAAACAATTGTTCTTTATTCATCTCCTCTATGCCATTTATGATTTTACAGCTCTCCCTCAGAATTCCCTCTGAACTGTCCCTTTTCTGGCCCAAAGGTGCTAACTAGTTCCAGGTACCCATTCTTCACGTGCCCCATGTCTGATTATCCTTGCCACATCCTCTGGACGTTTTGCAGCGTTACTGTCATGTTTTTGAGCCACAGGGAACAGAACCGTGCATCTCATGCAAGAGGTGTTGAGCCAGAGTAAAGCTGGGAGTCCAGCCAGGCCCTGTGTACCCTTGTCAAGGGTGAGGGCACTGTCCCAAGAGTCAAGCCACAGGACGAGTCTCGAGTCCTGATCGATGCTCACCCTGAAGAGCAGTGTCCCTCTGGAGCGAACCTGACCACTGTCTGTCCCCAAAGCTTCCTCAACAGCTGTCTGCAGGGTCATTTGGCAACACACATCTGAAGGGTGTGCAAGGCAATTGGCGATTACTCAAATGTGGTTCTATAACTACAATTTTTCTTTCTGGTTTCATTTTAAAGTATTACTAAAAGTTTGAAAATGACAGTTGCTTGTCTGACTTCATCTCTGAGCCTCAAGACAGAAGGACCTAAACGAGAATAATGTCATGGAAAACAGTGGTATTCTGAGGTGTGTGCAATCAAACATGAGGCAGCCCTGGACTGGTGGCGTCTCAGGGTTGCAATGTGCGTTGTCACCAAGGGGTTAGGGTTTTTTCTAATTTTTTTTTTTTTTTTCCTCTGTCCCAGTTAGTAGCAAGTATTTATGCCAGAGAAAAGAGGGGTGTTGGGAGTCAGGCATTCATCAGTGCGGTCTGTTTATCGACAAAGTCCCCTTTCCCTGAAGGCAGCAGGCGCGCGCCAGCAAAGCTTCATCTCGCACGGGGCCAGCCCCGTGTCAGGCCGTGTGTACCCTTGTCAAGGGTGAGGGCACTGTCCCAGGAGTCAAGCCACAGGCGGAGTCTCGAACCCTGAAGAGCAGTGTCCCGTTAGGATCTGCTCAGCTTTTTCTCAGCACCTTGCGCTCCGTGAGGCTCTTCCTGACCTCGGGGTGCTTCTTCGCGGACATAAATTTAGGAAGGAGCAGCGAGAAGCAAACCTCTCACTGAGGCGTGTTGGCAGAATTATTTCCATGTACGTATCCGTTGTACCTCGGTGCTGGCAGCGCGCAATACCCCGTGCAGAGGGCCGGCTCG